CTTCCTCAGTCCAGTAATAATCATTGTACAAGAATTTTAATGCATCATATATTCCGTAATTTTTTCCTCTGTGCGGTGCTGTCCTGACCTTTTCAATATTCTATAATTTGACTGGCTGGCCATTTCTGTTCTCTTCTTTTTACAGTCTTATTAACTTGTAGGAAGGAGGTGAAATGAGGCACCAATCAGAATACATAATATTGCAAAGGTCAGTGTAGCTGCGCACACTATCACATGCACAGATACCGCATGCCAGGCATTAGTACCCTGATATCTTATTCATGTGACAAAGACTGTAACAAGAAGAGAAAATGGCACAACATGAATCCCTTCTCAGCACAGAGACTGTAATGAGAAATGACAGCAAACAACCCAGACTGATTCTTGTTACCTTGTGATGATTTTAGATGTCAGACCCAGTCCTGGTTCAAGTTCGCCCTTTTCTGAATCCAATTACACCTTACAGTAGAAAAGGTGTTCACTAATTTTCCTACTTCCAGTTGCAAAAAAAAGCTGTATTTTCACTCATATTGAGGTCTCAATTTTCGAGTTGCTCAGCTCCATCTCCCAACCTGAGAGCTCTGCCTTTACCAAGGAGAAAAACCCTGAAGATCAGATCAGGGGAGCAATGCAAGCCAGCCCTTTACCTGGAACTCAGAATGCCAGGCTCCTCCACTGAGCAGTTATTAATTAAGACTTCACTTAATTTTCTTGGAGATACTATTTTAAATCATTTTGTCCACAAAATATATCCTCCAAGTCTCTTAATTCTAAAGGTTCTTGGGTGGGAGGGATGTCAAAGATGAGGGCCTTTATTTTATAAATAATACCCGAACAAAGAAGCCTTTGATAGCTATCCTACCTACATTGCTACAAAGTCTGTCTCAATGTCTCTCCCTCCCTCCTCCCCCTTCCCTCCCTCCTTCCCTCCCTAGTCACTTTTGTCACAAAAGAAGAAAAGGAAGAAGGGGAGGGGAGGGGAAGGGAAGGGAGGGGAGGAGAGGGGAGGGGAGGGGAGGGGAGGGAAGAGAAGAGCATCCTTTCTGAAATCTAAACATAAAACAAAGACAAGGTAAACTCCCAAACAGCATGACACAATTGCTCACTGTTGGAGAAGGGTGTGAGTTAATGGAGCAGGTGTACCCTCAAAGGACACGTAATTGGATGTCAGAGGAGACAGAGAAACCAGAGCTCATAGAATTTGGCCAAATTCATCTCTCCATAACCTGTATTTCACTTACCCTCCCAGGCAACAGACAAGTCGAGTACATGAGCACCCAGGCCTCAGAGTTTTTCGGGGAAGACTAAGCAGAAAGGCAAAGAAGGCTAAGTTCAGAACAGACCTGCCCACCCATTAAGCAGGTGAATTCAGCAGGACAGCATGCTCAATATTCATACAGCCCCAAAGAAACAGTATGATAAAATAACCACATCTCCCGGGGCAAAAATGATGTGCACACTGTAGAAGATGAAAGAAAATATTGCAGAGGCCATGAGAAAACATCTTATTAAATATTTAGTAAACAAGTTAGTGGAAATAAGAAACTCAACAGAGGCTAAAAGCCAAATGAGTAACACCCTGGAAAGCCTTGCCATAGCCATCATCCATGCAAGAGAAGAAAGATCCAGAAATCACAACAGGATGACAATCCAGAAAGGGGGAAATGATGCAGAATGTAGTTTAATTTCATGGGAATTTTGTTTGCTTATTTGTTGTGAGGCTAGGTTAAGGGTGCGTTGACATTGGCTTGCTAAGGAACTGTTTCCATCTAGAAGTGCTAAACCTTGGGAGAGAAATAATGGCTCCCAGTCAATTGGGAATTGTTCTAGATAGCTCCAGAATTGTTGAGAATTCAGAAGCAGATTGTCCAGGGCCACTGAGTCCGGGGCTGCCCAGCGTGCTTCATCTCAGCGGCAAGCTGTCTGGGCCACGTGGCTTTTTGAATCTGTGTGCATACAGCTAATTCTAGCTCTGCTGACAACTTCTGGAACTATTACATTTTCTTACTGAAATTCATCTGTGTCCTCACTAACCAAAATTATTTTCTGTTGTTTGATACCAAAACACTGTCTATGGAGACGGCTCCATTTGTTAGCATTAGTTATTTACAAACAGTAGGACATTTTTCAATGCTGTTTTTCTATTTTAAATGAATTTTTAATTAGCGCTCATAACTTTTGTAAAACAACAGAATCAAGGCCCTGGGTGTTGGCCAAAGCCTTTAATTCCAGCCCTCGGGAAACAGAGGAAGGAGGGCTGATGATTTATGTACGTGCAAGACTAGCCTGGTCTACACGATGAGTTCCAGGCAAGCCAGGGCTACATAGTGAGACACTGTCTGAAAAAGGAAGTTCATTAATCAGTAAATCAATTAAATAATAAAGAGCAGACTCATGAGAGGGTGCGGATATCTTAGGAAGATGTCTAAATCATATTTTAACATAAACTATAATGAAACCACAGGTCTACAGTGTACACTTAAACAGGTCAAATTTGGCCAGCTGCTTGTTTTGTAAGTAAAGTTCTATTGGAGCGCCTTTCACTGGGACATTACCCTGGTAAACTGTAGAATTGATAGTTACAGCAGAGGTTATATGACCAGTAAAGTCTAGCATGTTCGTGATGCCTCCTTTTAGAGAAATTTTGCCAATTGAATTCGATCAACGACGCTACTTCTTAAAAATGTGCTGACTTCCCGAGCAAAGGGAGTCATCTGCAATTTCTAGATTGATTTTCGTGAGTCAACTCTTTTCACGTGGTGGACCAACATATGTGGGAGGAAATCTTGGTTCACGCACCCCTCAATTTCCTCACAGTACTGTTTCTGCATGGTTGCCTTGACAATTCACAATTGTACATGAAAATCACTGAAATGGAAAGATGCAAGGAAGACCTGTTTTATAGCTAGTATCCACTGACTGTGGAAACCACCAATGGAAACCCAAGGTCACTGCTTATGTGATAATAACTACTTTGGAAAGGCATAAGAGTAACTGAAGAGCACTGGGGCTGGGAAGACATCCCAGCTGGTAAGGGCTTGCCCAGGAAGCACTTGAGCTTGATTTCCAGACGATGGGAATGCTGGGTACGGTGGCCGGAGACTGCAATCCTTGCACTGGGGAGATTGAGACAGGCAGGTTTCCAGTCTAGACCACCTGGCAAGAGCTTCAGGCCAATGGGAACCATGTCTCAAAAAGTGAGGTAGATGAGACCTGAGGACTGACACTCCAAGTTGACTACAGCCTCCACATGCATGTGAACACCCACACGTGTGCTCCCTCAACACACATACAGAAATAACTGGAGTGAGTAGCGATTTCTTACATGGAGAAGTAATCTTTGGTTGTATGCACTCTTTTTAAAAAAATATTCTGTTATTTTTATTTTATGTGTATGAGTGTATTGCCGCATATATGTAAGTACACCCATGTCGTGCAATGCCACAGAGGTCAGAAGAGGGTGTCATATTCCCCTGGAACTGGAGTTAAGGATGGTTCATAGCTGCCATGGGGGTGCTGGGAATCAAACCTAGGTCCTCTACAAGAGCAGTCAGTGCTCTTAACTGCTGAGCCTCCTCTCCAGCTCAAGCTGTGTGTACTATGTGAGCTGCTTCTGAAATCCTTTTTCAAACATCCTTAGTGTCAAGGTGTATTTAACAGCAGTTAGATTCTACTAAATATCACAGTCTTTGAAAATACCAAACTGATGTAAATAGATGTCCAATAACCATACCTAGAGCACACGCTTCTCCTGCAGCTCCTTAAAACTACAACATCATTGCTAATTTAAAAGATTGTCTTTAAAGACTGGCCATTTTGTGCCTGTTTTCAATAATTAGACACCTAAATCTAAATGAAAACTTCACCCTCATGGTACCATCAGTAGCCACATTTTCTGTTAATACTGGGTAAATAAGACAATGCACTGTATCAAAATTTTCTAAAAATTATATTCCATTATGTGAATATCTTAATATCCTTTATTAAATTATTTAAGTCTCAGCTTCTTTTTTTCCAGCCCTCAGAAGTATAGCAGATCATGTTTGCTGACTTGGGGATGAGCTTCCTTTCACTTCTTTCCATATGGAATTCCATGGTTTCCTGTAAAAGTATTTTCTCCCATAAATCCCATTCCTAATGCACAACCATTTTCTTTTTCAGATAAAGACAATTAAAAAAATCATTACATGGTATTAAGTACGGCACTCTCTTGTAACACCTGGAGCAACCATCACCCAGTGGGCAAAACTTTTAACTACATTTTCTATTGTTTATACAGAACAGTGTTCATTAAAATCATAAGATAAAAATTTCAGTAAACTATAAATTTAATGTTATATATATTTTAATTAAAATTTCATTTTAACAGGTTCTAAATAGACATATGTATTAATAAATTATTCAATTATATAGCAAAGATAAAAAATGATTTCTTTTCAAAATATTCTTAACATAAAACTATTAAAGGTTTTATTAAAACAAAGCTACATGTAAAACAATAACTGCTACTCATCAATAGTTTGGGTTTTTAAAGTATGTATGTGTTGTCATTAATGCTTATTCTATTGTTTGGGTCTCTACACAAACAGGTAAAACTATTTGACATGTCAAAAAATCAATGATTAAAGGTGTTTGCTGTGATGGAACGTCTACGATGCATTAAAACTGGTAACGTGCCTGGATATCGTAAGCTTTCTCTCAATATAACAGGCATTCCATGTAACTGACAGGGACGAGCAATTACAGAGCACGCCGTACACTAAAGCTTCAACTTAAACAAAGGCGAGGAGAGGCTCCCCGTCCCCCAAGTTTCTTAAACAAATCCTACTTTAAATTTTTTTCACATGCAATGATAAGAGATACTCTGGTGGAATGTCATTATGGCCAGTGTGCTCCCGGTAGCTCCCCAGCGGTGTCCTGGAAAACACTTGAAGAGGGCATAGGGAAAGCTCTCATCTCCTAATATAACCCAGGGTTTTTTCCAAAAACTGCAGCTGCACCTTCCTAAGCTATTGGCCAGTGTGTCAAACGGTGGCATGGAGGATGAGCAGCTGCCGTATGACTTCCACCAGATGACCCAGGAGCCGACCCAGTGTGGAGAAGCCAGGCTGCCCACCAGAGGATACCAGCAAGAAAAACTCGAGAGGCCCGAACAGTAACCTGGGGGCAAGTGAAGACGACACTTAAGATAGAGGAGAGAGCCTTGCAACTGGGAAATCATCTGCCTCATCTGTAGCCGCATCAGCTGTGACCTTGTTCTAAGAACTTCCAGCTCATACGTTTGTAAACAATCTAATTCAAAACTCTCCTCAGTTGTGGCATGTTCAACATGCTGTAGAGCTAAATTTTGAGATAAATTAGAAAGTTTCAAGGATGCAGTGTTTTGGATGGGTAAAGGCACAGAAGGCATGCACACCCACATGAAGTCCCTTGTTACTATGCCACATCTACTGTATCACCCCCTGGAATAAAGGCTTGCATTTTGGGCGCATGGGGGCAGCTTAACGCTCCTTTGGATATCTTACCTCTACAAAACGTTATTCAGCAACTGAGCTCTATGTGACTAGACACTTCTAATGACCAAATCATTGGAAGTATCATGACTGGGATTCATCAGGACATTGTTATTACTGCCTTCCTCATTGTGGCTGTAACTGGGCATTTTCCTTTCCATATAGTCTGCAGAACTGGACTAACAGCAGTCAGATGAGAGCTGTTCAGCCCAAAATGATCACGGCTGCCCTCCTACAACAAATAAAAGCAGCAATGTTGGAGACAACTGCCCTGTTTGAACTCTGCAGCAGGCACGCTTGACGACATGGGCAAAGTCTTCAGTAGGCAATCTTGCTTACAATGGTAGAGTCAGATAGGCATGTATGCACATGCAGTTCTGAAGTGCACTGTCCCTTATGTTTATGTTTGGAGTATATAACAAGCTATGCCTTATTTATGCTGTTGTGTGACTATCTGCTCTTTACCTTGCAAACAGGCCACATGTTGCCAATTGTTTCCTGAATTCCTGCAGAGGAATAGCCTGTGATCTGCATACCATTTGTTCCTGAATATCTGCTCAGAGCACCCATCCCTATGATACTATCTCGAGAGTTGGAGATGCAGAGCGCTTTGTTCTATGGAACTGGAACTGCATTCTCCTGGTCCCTGGCTGTTCTCGTTTGCCTTCAATTGCTGTGACAAAACACTCTGAGCAATACCAACTTAGGGAGGAAAAGGTTTATTTGGCTTACATCTTTGGAGTCACAGTTCATCACTGAGAGAGCCCAAGGTAGGAACTCAGGGCAGGAACCTAGAGGCAGGAGCTGGAGCACAGGCCACGGATGACCAGGAACGCTGCTTACTGACTTGGTCCTGTGGCCTGTGCTCAGCCTGCTTTCTTATACAACACAAGACCACCTGCCCAGGGGTGGCACCAGTGGGCTGGGCCCTCCCACATCACTCAACAATCAAGAAAATGCCCCACAGACATGGCCACAGGCTAGTCTAATGGAGGCAATTCCCCACTTGAGGCTCCTCTACCCAGGTGTGTCAAGTTGACAACTGAAGCTATGCAGCACACCAGGTTTCTTAGCTATTAAAAAACAAAAACCACCAAAACCCCATCTTTAGTTATATGCTTCTCAGAAGAAGACCAAAGGCAGATAATTTCCCAAAACATGAAGCAAAAGGCAATAACCAGACTAAATATTTGCTGAAATTAGAAAGCAGTACCAATATTGATTCAGATATAAGGAATCAGATAAGCACACAAATGTTACCTTATAAACATTTTTAAAAATGTGTTACTATTTTTAATTGTACCATCTACTGTATCACGTACTATGATGTGATACCACAAGTGGAGTCCCAAATAAGCATTCAATATGTAAAAGGCCCTAAGAAACAAATTTGTTTGTAAAGCAAAGAGATACTGCGGTATAAATGCCAGCTTCTTGAGCAACAACTTAAATCAGTTCCACTGTCCAACTTAAAGTTGGACCGTTTTTCTCTTTTAAATACCCCAGCTTGCATAATTACAGAAATGCAAAGCCTGGATCCCTTCAACGATGTGCTACTCACCTTATATACTTTCTCACTGTTAACCTAGAGAAGTTGCTGGATGAGGCTACAAAGTAAATGTGTGAAAAAGGTAACGCCTCAGTTTTTTAAAAAAAATCGTCTTTTATTTTATGTTCATAAGTGTTTGCCCTGCATGTATGTAAGTGAACCCATGCCATGAAATCCCTGTGTAAACCAGAAGAGGGTGTCAGATCCAATGGGAGCGAATTTTCAGGTGGTTGTTAGCTGCCATGCAAGTGCTGTGAACTGAACCTGAGTCTTCTGCTAGAGCAGCCGGAGCTCTTAACCACTGAGCCCACACCTCATTTTCTTAACAGCACTCTAAATGCAGTTTATAACCATCAATTGTATTACCAGAATTTGTTAAAAGGAAACAAAGATATTTTAAAACTTGCCTTCATTTGAAGGAATTTCTCTGAGGAATTTGAACAGTCTAATGGTGTTAGAGTTTCCATCTTCGTTGTTCAATCTTTGCTTATTTTGGGTTTTCACTGTTGGTATACAAGTGATAATTATTATCTGCATCTTAAGCATACCCATCACTCACAGATGCCAATAAGAATATTCAGTTCTTCAGAGAGATGATCTGAAAAAAACCGGCTGAAAAGCAAACCCAGGGATCTCCAATCCATAATCAAATATCTGGATTGATAGTGTCATTTGCACCTGTATTGATTTCAATTGGAGTCACTCACCCAAGGGAAAAATAAAAATGTGGAATAAAACTGATTTATGAGAACAAAATAAATCCTTTTGTGAGTGGTAATGAATTGGTACTATTTAACCCTTTCAATCACAGACTAAAAACACTATTTATTTTCAAGAATGCTGAGCTAGCCAAAAGCACTCATATCCGACATTCCAAGTGGCACTGCACTGGGCCATGAGGTCTGGGAAGAATTGTGGCTCTAAATTTGATGGATGGCATGAGTTGATGACTGGCGAACTTTTAGATTTCCTAAGTCAAATTCAGCGTGTGATCACAGATGATGGGCCTGCAGATCCCAAGTGCTTCGGGATCATCAGTAAATGCATACTGTGCTTATTTACCTCCTTTATAGGGCAACTGAGACACAAGAGCAAAGGACGAGGCACAGTATCAACCATACTGAATGAGTCTATTTTTCCCCATCAATGTAAACTGGTCTTCATTTTACTTGGCAGATAATAACAACACTGAGGATTATCCCAGGGATCAAAGGAATATGTTTAGCATGATTTGACACAAGTATTTGACTTACAGAAGATCAGAAAGTCTCAAAAAAGGATATGGTTTTCAGATAAAACCAAAGCAATTATTAATTAATTATATATGTATGAATGGTTTGCTGGCGTGTACACACAATGTCCACAGAAAGCAGAAGAGGGGGTCCGATCTCCTGGAACTGGAGTTACAGATGTGGGTGCTGGGCACCAAACCCAAGTACTCTGCAAGAGCAGTCAGTCCTCTCAACCATGGAACCATCTCTCCAACCTCCTAAGGCAATTAATTCCCTCTATTGAGATCACTAGCCATCCAGTGATTCAATCAGGAAAAAATAAAAATGGTTAGTCCCTTCATGTTTCTTGAAATCCAGTAGGTAAAACATTCCCATTAGTTTGCAGCTGACTTACCTCTGAACTTTTCCTAGCATCCTATGGTCTGAGATTGGTTTCCACATATTCCCCCAAAATAGGGGTGGAACTGGTATTCACAGAATTAACATACACTGTTTGGTACTTTGCGTTTAATTAATAGCCCTAAGGAGCAGACCTTGGAAATATATGTTGTAAGAAAGAATGACTTGATTTGTTACTGGGTTTGTCAATGTGCCTTGTATGGTCAGGGTGTTTAATGAAAGTATGCAAAGGTAACTTTATCCTCACTGGCATAAAAAGGCTTTTAAAAAAATTAATATATCTTACTATTTACAATGAAACATAATTTAATTCAGTTTGATGGTACCATAATTATTATAGCACAATAATTTTTCTAGTAAGATCACTTTTGCACACATGCCTTTGTAGAATAAATCATTAAACAGGCAACAGGATACAAATCAAAAAGATAATAAGCTCTGTTCTCATAAAGGAATAAATTATCAGGAAAAGTGAAAGTGAGCCACTTTAAGTTTAAGGGATTCAAGTAAGATGATAACAAATGGTAATTGTGACTGGTCTGGCCCCCGAATCAAACAGAAGCTTAAGATTTTCAAATCATCCTGGCATAATGAATGTTAGTCTTCTGTTCCTAAGCTCTCAAGGGAGTTGCAGGTCTTAAGGTCACTGATAAAATCTTTCCAGTGGTTTTGCACTACAAAAAAAAAAAATGTTACAGACTAGCTTTATTTTTCCCATTTTCTTCTTTTTTCTTTTGCCTTCAGATACTCTCTGTTGTTCAGATTAAGAAATGAGAATTTGATCATTGTAATAATTAAGAGCAGATTGAGGAGATGGCTTAATGGGTAAAGTGTGTCCAGGCTTCAAGACTTGAGCTTGAGTTCCAGAACCCACATGAAAAAGCCAGACACGGGGCCCACAGGATGGCACAGAAGATGAAGGCACTTGCTTCCAAGCCTGATGACCTGAGTTCAGTCCCCAGAAAACCACATGGTCTGTGGAAAGAACTGACTCCTAAAAGTTATCCTCTGACCTCAGTATATACACACACACACACACACACACACACACACACACACACACACATTCCCCAAAAGGGAGGCTGGACAGAAGGATCAGTGGTTAAGAGCACTGGCTGCCCTTGCAGAGGACCCAGGTTCAGTTCCTAGTACCCACATGGCAGCTAACAACCATCGTAAATCCCGTTCCAGGGGATCCAACGCCCTCTTCTGCCCTCTGCAAGCATTGCATGCAAGGATGCACTTACATGCAGGCAAAACACTCATATGCATAAAATAAATAAGTAAATAAATAAATACATAATAAATAAATAAATAAATAAATGTCTAAAAAAGCCTGGAATGGAAGCCCACACCTGTGATCCCAGTGCTAGAGAAGCAGAGACATGTGGCTGTCTAAGGCTCACTGGCCAGCCTGCCCAGCCTCTTTGGACTACTTGGTGAGTTCAAGGTCAACTTTTAAGACCC